AAGTTTGTTTCTTATTCAGGCTTTTGAAAGAGAAAACATCTAAACACACTTGTCTCTGTCTTTTCAGGAACTGGCCTTGATGACTGACAAGGACAAGGCGAAGAAAGAAAAAGAGCAAAAGAAAGCAAAGAAAGAGGCAGAGAAGAGCCTAAAGAAGGAGCTGAAAGAGAAGAAGAAGCAAGAGAAGAGATAGAAACTAGACAGAGAGAGGGAGGAGAAGAGGCAAAGGAAATGAAAAAGAAAATATGTGCCTCTCTTAAAAAAAAAATAAAGTTGAAATAGAATCAACATCTCTTGTTTCTTCCTCAATACACCCTGGTGTTCATTTTGTAAGTCACGGTTCCATATAGAGTCAAATATATGATGTGTATATGACATATACTGTATATATAATGTGATTGACAGCTAGTAACGTCCAATGGGTGCAGGTTGCAGGTGGAGGAGGGCGTGCAGTGTCCTCAAGCTCTCAGTCAGGCTCCACCCCTCGCTCCTACTAATGTGGTCACTTCTGATTTAAAAAAACAAGATGGTGCCGGACCAAATAGATGAGAGGCTACAAAGCAGCAGCTCACAAACCGAGCAAGCTCTGTTTCATTGTTGCAACGCTGCAACATCATTTGTTCCATCTCGTCTGTTAACAAATGATCTGACACAGATTGCAGCCATCAGGAAAAATCAAACATGCAATCGCTATTTGATGAGTCAGAACTAGTTAAGTTAAATAATCTCATTGTTCAACGCGAATCCTGACTGGACAGATGTGACAGAGATGAAATCAGGAGCTCAGACGATCGTGTGAGGATTTCTATAAGTTCTGGTTCGTTTCAGGACAATAAAACTAGGACGCTGCTTCGCTTTTCAAAGAATTATGGGACGGCATTTTCTCCTCTGGCATAGAAGCTCATTTCCTTATGATTTAGAAAATTCCAGTATGTTTACTGTTTACTGCATAACCAAAAATAATGCGTTAAGTTACCAGTCATAGACTTGCATCTGTTGCAAATGGGTGAAACATCAGGAAAGAAACTGTAGTTTTTTGATGATGCTTGATTGGATTTAAAAGGACTGTTGGGCCATTCGTTTATATGTTTGTATTCTTTTATACTTCAACGTGAATGAGTGAATCTGGTCTGTGAACACAGTCAAAAATTAGTTTTTAATAAGTCAACATAGTGGTTGTTTTGTGTGTTTATGTCCTAAACTTAATGTCGCCGGCTATTGAATCTGTAGCATTTAAACCAGCAGGAATATCTGGGAGGTGAAAAGTGTGTTGGTAACAACTCCCCAGGTTTCCATCTTACACACACACACACACACACACACATCTTACAGACACACTTATACACACACACACATCTGACAAAAACACACATACTCATTGGGGACATGTAAATGAAACAAGTCATCAAAACACTGTTATTAACACACACACACACACACACACACACACACACACAAATAATGTGTATAGATATGAAAACAGACCAAACCTCTGCTGCGTCCATTTATATGGCGAAATGGATCGTTCGGAGTTTTTGAAATCAGAACAAAAATCAAAAAGAAAAATCGACATGTAAATTTTTTATATAAACACAGAGAAATAAAATAAACACAAGTAAAATGAAACAGTGTGAGTTGCACACACACACACACACACACACACACACACACACACACACATGAACAGTCTGTGGATCAAACCTCAAACACGAGCAGTGTGCTGTTCCTAATAAAGTGCTCCGGGTGTTCAGACAGCAGGGGGCAGTGATGATACATTGAGGAGCTCGGGCTGCCGGTTAAACCCGGAGCAGAAGAAGACGGTCACATGACGCCCGGTTGACCGGAAGAGAAGCGACGACAGGAAGCTTCTCTTTATTTACACTCGAACACGTTTATCTGTGAGTTAAATCTCTGCGGAGGAAGAGGAGACGCTTCGCTTCGCAGCCAGGTTCCCCCACAACAAAGAGACAAAAATGACGGCGTCGGTGTTTTTCGGCTGCACCTTCATCGCCTTCGGCCCCGCCATCGCCCTGTTCCTCTTCACCATCGCCCGGGAGCCGCTCCGGGTCATCTTCCTCATCGCCGGGTGAGAGTTGTGGCTTCAGTTCACCAGGAGGGAACCAGAGGGAACTTACCTCCACCTCAGCAGAGTCAGACCGGATCTGTGTCCGCGTTTAGTTACGATAAAAACACGACGGTCCGCACAGCTAGCTCGATGGCTAGCATGCATTAAACGTTAGCTTGCTAACTTTTGTGTTATTTCTATTGTTCTAACCCGCAGTTACAGTGAATTGTGTCTTCTCGCTTGTTTACAATCCTCCAGTGGAAGAGGTTGAGACTGAGTCACTGACCTGAGACCCCGATGTTCAAACATCTCACTGTAACACGTTCAGAGTAACAATAAATCCTGCAGTACGTTTAGCATCATGATGCTAGCACTCACATTTCAGAAACTTACTGTACAACATTGCTGATCAAGAGAAATAGGAAGTGATGCACCTCCCAGGGCAACACCTAAACAATGCTACAGTCAAATGATTTATCTTAAAGTTCAGGATTGCAATAAATAAACAAAATAAAAGCACCTAAAAATGACTTCAATAAGTCTTGAGTTGTTTTTTTATTGAATTAATGATTTAGTGTTATGCTCATTTCACTTTAGCTCGAAGAAGACTGAGCGAATGTGCTCTTCACTTGTAATGTTAATTTAAAAAAGTGTGAAAAGATGCTTGTGAATAAGAAGACAGGTCCAGCGTCGTCTCTGAACTTAGTTCTTTAACCAAACACACTGATGAAGTTAAACTGAATTTAAAATCGTATCTTTTTAGGGCGTGTTTTACTGAAGCAGCATGTCTGAATCCACATTCAGTTCTTCGTGTGGCTTTCAGGTTTAAGAAAACATAGATAAAACACAGAATGTAAGCAACATCTGGAAATATGAGGACAACCAATATCATGGGGCTGAGATGAAACAAAACATTCAGAAATATCCTGATGTGCCATAATGTCTTACCCACCTATTGCTAAGGTTTCTAATGATAATTAAATGTTAATTTTTTTCCTGACAGAGCCTTCTTCTGGCTGGTGTCTCTGCTGCTCTCCTCTCTGGTCTGGTTCATCTCAGTTCAGATCAGCAACAAGGAAAGTGCAGCGCAGCAGAAAGGTCTTCTCATCTTCGGCGTGGTGCTGTCCGTCCTGCTGCAGGAAACCTTCCGCTTCGGTTACTACAAGCTGCTGAAGTGAGTCACTGCCACTGTGTTCAACACAAACTGAAGCTGATCAGGATCTGTCTTCTCATTCCATCTTGAATGTTTTCCTTTCACTCTTTGTTTTGTTCTGAGATGCAGGTGCAAATGTGACAGTAAATGTCCCACATATAACCTTTAATATTTATAAACTCAGGTGGAGGTTTGTCTCATTGTCAAAGCTCAGAAATCTGGACGCTAAGACACAATGTCAGTTTGAAACGTTTTACAGAATAAAGAAGTGAAGTTATCTAAAAATCTGACCTCAGAACTGATCACAATCATCACTGTCACATCCTGACTAGCTGTCCTCCTGCATGTTCACTTGCTCTGTTGTCAATCTCTCGCACTTTGTCCCATTTTCCCGTCTCTTGTCCTTTTTCTATTCACGGCTCATTGTTGTGGCTCATATCATCTTCCAATCACTGACATACATATTTACTATTCATGCTCTTGTTTACTGGGAACTAAGGCTCTTGGGTGTGTGTGTGTGTGTGTGTGTGTGTGTGTGTGTGTGTGTGTGTGTGTGTG